TTCATAAGCTTTAAAGATGAGCAAGAAAGGTCGCCAGTTTCATTTTAATCCGATTTCATTATGATCTGCGACATTTAATTTCCACGCGGGTCCTGGATCTGCAATATGTATAAAGATAAAAGAAAGAATATATTTTGTATAGTAATAAACTTGTTTTATTAAGTATCTAATTTTATCTGTATGTTTTATAACTTAATAAACTAATATATAAGCTATACTTCTTTTTTGCTTCACTTTGTCTTTTTTCTTTCTTTGAAGAGAATCGATCAATAATAAAGTGGCAAACATTATTTTTTAAACCAAGGAAAAAAAGAAAAACGCGCTTAGTATTTATGCTCATTTTCTAGAAAATTAAATTTTCTCATTTAATGATAATTAACTAAAACTTAATTAATGATAAATTTTAACTTATCACAGAGACAAGTAATAGTTGGTCTTTAAACATTTTTAAAAAGCTGTAAACATGAAGAACAAGAGTGAAGTGTGCTTGTTATTGAAAGGTAAAATCCTGTATATATTTTTTTGTTTTTAATTACATTACGATTATATACTAATAATAGCTCTCTCTTTTACAAGTTAATCGTTTGAAAAAAAAATTGAAAGAAATTGAGAGTATATATATATTCAGTTGCAGTAGAATTTTAACTATACATATACTAATAGCCATCTCCTTATAAGATTGCGTATTTGATTTAGTCGCAAAAAATACTCATTTGAAAAGTGAATTGAACAAAATGAAAGAATATATTCAGAGTATATTTATTTAGTTGTAGTAGAATTTTGTCTATACTTTCAATTACTGTACGCATACTAATAGCATCTCCTTATAAGATCGTGAATCTGATTTAGTCGCAAAAAATACTATTTTAGAAGAATTAAATCAAGAAGGTACTATTTTTATTATACTGTATATTTAGCTGCTTGAAGAAATGTATTGAAATTATACATTAATTGTTCACTCTATCTAAAGCTGAATTAAGGTTGATGACGAAATTTGCTGAAAATCAAAGATTGGTTGCATATTATAAATATTTGTTTAATAATGGCCAAAAGCCATCAAATGAAGATTTTGAAAAATTGAAATTAATATTTGATAATTTAGAAAATGAAACGCAACAAAAAGTTTATCAAATAGGATTATAAATATAGTTAATGAAACCAATTTGCACGTTTCATCATTTAGTTTAATAAAGAAGAATTACAAAAACTCATAATTGAATTCATTTATTGAGAATTTCTACTTAAAAGTCAATATATTTACGTAAATAAAATGAAATAATTTATTATATATTGTTATAAAGACTTAAAAATGAATCAGTTCTCAAAGAATTAGACGAAGTTATAAACGAATATTAGATAGAAACTAAAGAAACATAGAAATAAATTGTCACATGTATAGTTCATGACTAATAATTTAGTGTAAATAAATCTTTCATTTATAATAACCCTAGTTTCTTATTACAATATGATCGATTCTCAGCATTAGCTGCAAAAAGATCAATATTACGAACGAGATATGCAACGTGATAAATTCATTGATATCATTATTGAGCAAATTTATGGACATTTTAAATTAACTATGGTTATTAATATTCATTTTAAAGGATAAATATATTTGTACGTAGCAGACTATTTAATTACAACTTATTAACAAAAAATTATACCATTCATCCCTATGAAAATAGTTACAAAAATAATAAAGAAATTTATGGAATATAATACCTGGAATTGTTAGTTTTTCGAAATTTCATTTTCAGAAATAGCTTATAAGAATTTGATATTGTCAGTTTCTAAAAGTGAAATTTCCGAATTCCAGGTTTTCTCTTTGCAATACCCACATATATTTTGATAGATGTTTTAAACTTTCTACATGAAAAAGATTCCAGTTAGGCGGTTGCAAATTTTTCGCTCCAAGTTAAAAAAATTTTTTATAAAGTGCCTCCTCAAAAATTTATTTTTTGATACTACAATATTTTATTTTAATATTTTCAGAAATACAGAACAAGAATGATAAAATCAAAAGACAAATAGAATTAAAAAATGAAGTACTTAAGAACCACTAAAACTATAAAAGAATTGACAAAATGACAAAAGACAAAAGTACTAACACCAAAACGATAATGTATTCAAATTAATAAAGAACAAACTTGAAATTAATCTAATATTCGAAAAATAATTGATTACAACATAACATATCAGCGGATCGGCGTAATCTAGATAAATTGATACACGAAAGTTTTCCCTTAAGTAACGTTGAAGAAGTACACTTGTTACAACTAATAAAAGAGCCTTTTAGCATCTAGACAAGATAAAAGACTAATAAAAATCAATAAAATAGCTATGCTAAGCTGTAGAAAGAAGTATTTTTACCGTTTGTTAAAATACTCGGGTATTTTAGGATGGGTTGGTCATTGAAGAAATGGGTATGTAATCTATGTTATCCGTCAGGTACTATGTATACACTGACGGAAAAAATTCCATATTATTGCCGCAGGTTATTATTAAAATCATGTGATATATACTAATTGTAGATTTTTAAAATTCTCAATTTCATTTTTTAAAACTAATATGCCCAGAATAAATTACATATAGAAAAACAAATAATATCAAAAATGGTAGTGGAAATGATAGTGTATTTCCTTATTATTATTATGTTCGGATGAAGATTCATGAATATCATGAAAAGTTGTTATAAATTATGGTGCCGTTTGATTAGAGATAGACTTTAAAGGTGGTCGTTGACCTGATAATCTTGGAATACGGGATCTGAAAGTGGATTTCTTGTCATAATTAGACCTTATTGGAGTTGGGTAGATGGCAAATTACTCGAATCTACAAAAATTATAATGTAGTTAAAATATGTCATTAGCGATAAATTAATACGTAACTAGAATAATCCATACCCGAATGCTCTTCATATTGTTCAGACACATTATCAAGTGCAAATTTTTCTGCTGCTGTCATTATAGTCGAATCTAAAAAAATAGTAATTAAAAAAATACTTTATTATTTATTATTTAAACGCATAGATAATAAACGTCACCATAAATCTCTGGATTATTTTCATAATCTAAAAAATTTACACCACTGCCGCGAAAGTAATTGAATTCTTCATATGATAAATCATCATAATCAAGTGAAATTAATAAAGCCGTACTGTATTCTGAATTTTTCGATCTTCGTTAAAATTATCGTATGAGCTTTATATTCTTTTCCATCTATTCGTTTTAACCAAACAAGAAATTTACAAAGAAAGTCTTCAAGCTCAATGACTTTGAGTATGCTTTCAAATAATTTTTTGCAATTGGATACTTCTCTATATCTGTCAACTGCTCGTAACTACTTTGCTATACATTTATCTGTATTATGTACTCGCGAGAGTTTAAGAAGTTTTGAAACATCTTCGTCTGTTGGTAACGTATTATGTGACATTGAAATATTAAAGAGAGAGTTAAATCAAAACACAAACGTTCATTTATCATTTATATACTGTATATTCATCATTCGAATTATCAGTTCTTATTATTTATTAATTAAAAAATCAAAACAAAATCACTCATTTTATCATTTATATATATTCATTCGAATTATCAGTTCTTATTATTTATTAATTAAAAAAAGTTTATTTGGGCAATAATATGGTTCCGTCAGTGTATACGTCATTCGACAGGATGATAGCAACGCACGTGGCCTTCGGCCACGTGCTTTTGCTATCATCCTGCCAGATAACAAGAATTTACTGAAACTTACGCAAAATTACATGAAATGTAAAATTGTAAAATGTAATTTTCAACCCTAATTAAACCCCAATTCTGCCTCTAATTTACATTCGAATTCTGCCAAAATTTATAATTCTAATATAAATTTGGGCAGAATTAGAGATAAATTTTGGCAGAATTAGGGTTTGATTTGGGCAGAATTCGAATGTAAATTAGAGGCGGAATTGGGGTTTAATTTAGGCGAAATTCGAATATATATTTGGGAAAATTAAAGTTTAATTTGGGCAGAATTCGAATATAAATTTGGGTAGAATTCAAATATAGATTCGGGCAGAATTAAAGTATATAATAGATACAAAACATATCAAAGTTTGAAAAATTTTACTTTGAATTGAATATTTATAAATAAAATATTCATTATTTAACTTCGAAAGTATCAAAATTTATATTTAGTATTTCTTTAATGATATCAATTGCGTTGTTAATAAATAAAAGACATTTTTCTTTTATTATATGAAAATAATTATTTATATATATTATTTTAATTAATAATAATTTTGTGAATATTTTTTATGAAAACATCATATTTAAATATTAAAATATTAACAATACATATCGATATAATTTAATAATCTGGGAATTATTAAAATATGGATTATTTCTAAAAAGTTTTAGTTAAAATTTAAGATCATACAATAATACATTTATCGATTTGTTCCTTTAATTGAAAAATTACAACATTTGGGGTTTTTATATTGATATAAATTATTACGTATAAATTATTTTTGACTATATTGATTTATCATTACAGTAAAAATACAATTTATTCAGTTAATTTAATTAATTGTTAAATTCTATTCAGATTTAATAGGTTTAATTAGACCTGTCGTATTATTTTACAGAGAGTTTTCAGTGACGTAAAAAACAAATCACCATCAGAAAATTTAACCGTAATATAGTCTTTTAAAATTGCATAAAATGCTGAAATAGAATAGTAAGTTACTTCTCTTCTACCATCTCTAACGGGGAACTTTATTAATTTATATTGGTCTAATTAAATTTTAATACCAAGCTTCGGACTTCAGTTTCCGTTTCCTGGTTATTATTGGCAGGATCATTGCCGCGGTATATATTTCGTGCACAAATTTCGTAAATACTACCAATGGACTGCTTATGCACGAGAAAATGAGAGTTAGAAATTTCTTATGTAGCCAGAACCATTTTCATACGCGTTAATCGATCATCTCTGAAATATATGATACACAAAATTTTGCTCTCCTCATATGAGGTGAGCGAAATTTGTGTATCATATAACAATAAATTATTAGAAACTAAAATTTGTGTATCATATATTAGAAAATAAAATTTGTGTATCATATCGATATATTAGAAAATAAAATTTGTGTATCATTTATTAGAAAATAAAATTAGAAAATGCAGAATTAAATGCTTAGATAATAAGATATATGAAATATAAAAAAAATATATATAAAATTCTGAAATATCAAAAATGTAGAATACAGTATATTGAATATATTAAAGTCCTGATCAAGTCACAGATTTGGCGCAAGATGATTTTTGCTAACGCTAATACCAGGTGACGAAATTACCTGCATGCACAATCTCTAGTTAATTTAGCCAATGCATAAAATTTTAATTTGTATGACGCATATTAATATTATAAGAAATTTCTATTTTATAATTAAAGAAAATTCCATTCATATTAAATGAACTTTTTTAGTTATAAATAACGCGAGCAGGTTTTCAAAAATTCTAAATCCTACTCCTCCACAACAAACTACATCACTCCCACTAATCAAGAAAAGTATACATTTAGTGATTCTCTCAGTTTACCTAGCCAATAACACATCTACTTAATTCGATTATCTGTTTATTCCTGGTCAGCACTAACGTTCCTGGCAAGATCTCTGAGACTTATTTCCAGAATGAAATATTTTTTTACACTCATCACTTTACTCATTGTTTTGTGTGCTGCGAACAAGAAACGACTAGTCAGAAGGGTTTAGAATGTATAGCAAGTTGGGAGGGTTTTTGTCCAACCTGTTATCAAGATCTAGGGTGTAAATAGACTATAGGTATTGGGTTTCTTGTTGGAAATGGTAAATCAAAATCAGAATGCAAAAAAATGGAACCAATGAGCTTAAAGGTTTCCTTGAATAATTTCAAGAACAAGCTTTCAGAATTTGAAGGATATGTGAAAAAATATGTAAAAAAATCGTTAAACAGCGATCAATTTGATGCGTTAGTAAGCTTTGCCTATAATACAGGTGAAGGTGCTATTAAAAGTGTAGCAAATATTATTAATTCCAAGGGATTCAGCGAAGTCCGTAGCGAAATGGCTAAATACAATAAAGTTACTATTGAAGAAAATGGTAAAGAGCGTAAAGTAGTTTCACCGGTTCTCGCGAATAGAAGAAAATTTGAAGCTGATATGTTTGATTCGAAAATAAAATCTTGTCCAAAGGTTTCGCAAAATTGTAATGGCGGTTGTAAGAAATAAACCTATTTCCTATCATTTTAAATATGTTTATTAGTAATCAAATAATTTTTTATAAATATTAGAATAGTTAGCCCTTAATCGTAACGCTATGATATACTAAATATTCATGATAAGAGTAATTCCTATCATTCTTATTGTTTTGAAAGTAAAATATCTTTCATACAATGCTATTTTATTAGTTTTGACCTTCGACATTATTGAACAAGTTAAAATAAAATAACAAAATTTATTATTATGCTTGAGAATCTATTTTATCACGCAAATGTGGTTGATCAATATTTAGTTAATCTAAACACAGAATAATAATTAAAAACAAAATATAACGTACAGTACTAATTAAATAGTATGATTAGATTAATAAAACAAAAGATTGCCGCGTTCTTTATATTAAAATTGTTGAATGAAAGTTAAAAGAAATTCTACTAGGAATTGTCGTGGTAATTGCAGTTTGTACACACCTCGAAAAAGTTACGTTTTTGATATATTTATTATCAAAAAATTAAAAAAGTAACTTTGAACTTTCTGTCACGTGTGTGATAGAAAGTTCAAAGTTACTGAATTTATTAATAGAATGCGCTTATCTCCGGAGCTCCCAATTCTCGTAGCAATCAGAACAATCAGAATAACAGAAGAAATGGGGAAACGGTAAACATATTATTGGTGATGGTGGCTCCTAATGCATTATCATTATTAACTCAATGAAAGACAGATTGATTTCTATTCAAATAGTTGTCAATAAAAAGGAAATGTATGTACTGGTGGTTCTTAACGATAATAATCGAACTTGTGAAGTTTAGAAGTAGATAGGTAAGTGAGTACTGATACTTAACAATGATTCTAAGCACTCATTCCGATCAGTATAAATTCTAAAATGACATATGTTAATTCGGAATCAACATAAATTCCGAAACGACGTATAACAGTGCCTTGCAGTGGTATCTAAACGCGAAAAAGTTACAGAAAAGTAACGATTCATTTAATTTGTATAGTTTAACGTATAATAGTATAGAATAAAGTTTCAAAACATCTTAATATCTTATATTAACATATAACTTTTATACAATAAAAAAGATAAAACAATTCGGTATGAATTTTTATTAATCTGAATCCAATACAGAGAATTATCATCATTTTATTCAGTTTATAATGTAATATAGAAATTTCAAAGTTATTACAAATTTAATAAAAAAAATAATAATTTTATAGATTTGGTTACCACCAGTTATTATTCCAACGTCTGGGATCATCATATTGATAAGTTTTAGGACATTGTTCTTCCTCATCATGATATACAGGTTAATTTTATTCGAAAATTGATGTGGATGATTGAACATTTATTTTAAATCCATCTCTTAAAATCATTTCTTTGTTCCGCATTGATGTTATTGGGACTCATTATAAGTCAGCCAGGAAGTGTTTCACACTACTGAATCTGGAATAAATATTTCTGGAATCTGTTAATTTTTATACTTTTAATTCTTTGCATAACGATAAGACTTACATACTGCGGTTGTGAAATTTATCATGTGCTATAGTCACCCTAAAATTTGGATCTTTTCGTAATTGGTTAATCATTTCAAATTGATAATTGGTCAAATTATAAATTAAGCTTATTGGTTTATGAACAGAATGACGTAGTTCGTGTTTAGAGTGAGTACTAGAGAAGCATTTAAATAATTCAAGTTCAAAATTGTTTATAACTAATAATTTAGTTGGAAAAATGCTATTATTTAACATTGTTTCATATATTAAAATCATGTAAATTTAATATTACAGTCGACTCTCAACTACGTAGTGTTACCCTAATTCTGCCAACATAATTAAATGTAGTAAAAAAAAAAATAGGCGCAAAACTAATTATTGATTGATCTGTTCAATTTATAATAATCTGATTGGTCAGTTACAGATATCATATTAGTATAACTCAAAGCACGGACGTAAGAACGTGCCAGTTAGCTATTATTTAATATAATTATTTCTTTAAGATTATTTAATCATGAGATGGATGAAATAAAAAAAAATTATGCCGAATGGAAATAATATATGGTATTCAAAATTGCACGATGAACTAATAATGGAAATTATTTGAAATTTTTGCCATTTTTAATCGGGTAATATTTATAATTTAGATGAATCGGTTTATATTTTCAAAGGGCTAAATCATGACAGAAGACAAAATGCATGTTATAAAAGCCGAAATGTCTGCAACATTCTATAAAATAAGCTAATATTCATATAATATATATATATATATTACAATATAACCTAAACCTAAAAAGTTTAGGAAGGTTGGGTTTCGGTGCCCAACTTTAGACAATATGTCCCAAACCTTGCAGTAAAAGCAAATTATGCTAATTCGTTATACAACCGCTACTGTATGAAGTACGTAGTGATTATAGTTGATAAAAAGGTTATATAAACTTAGTAGAATTGATATTTTTAATACAGTTCAATCACTTTGTCGACTAAGATCAAAGCTGTTACGATATGAGTGTTACAAAGAAATCGCTGAATTTTCCTCAAATAAGAATTCCAATAATCATTTCTTAACAATATTTAGTCTATAGTATTATTTTCATTCAAATTTAATTATAATATTTATTAATTGTGATTTTCAAAATTTTTTACAGTCCAGCATAATGATAAACTCCTCAAAGTTCTTGATTTAAATACGCGTGATAATTAACTTTAAGTTTAGGTAATGAATTTCAAATAAATCTTAAATTTATAGCAGGAGAATAAGTATGTATTGTATAGTTTATAAAAAAAAATTTTTAAACAAAGCTAAAAAAGAATCATAGTATAACACTCTTTCTAACCCTAATCATCGAACGAGTTCGCTTAAAAGCTAAATTTTAAAGTTTTGTTACATACACAAAAAGACCATATTTAGATTTACAAATTCACAATTTCTTTATTTCATATTATTATTGAAAATGTAGCTGATAACAGTTGCCGATGTAAAGATTAATCATAAAATCATAACGATAAGTTACAATTTATTTCAAAAAAAGTAATTATTTTGTGCTGATGATATCGATATATGAAATTCACATTCTATATTTAATTTTCTTGCAAAAAATATTACTCAAGTAAAAAACTAAAACTAAAAAACAGCAAATTTTAAATCGATAATATCAAAAATTAGCTGCAAAGATGGATTAAAAAATAATCAGCTAACGCTAAAAAGAACATAAGAGAAATATATAGTGTTCATGATCCTATTTTCTAATCAATTTAGTGAAACCTCTTTTTTGCATTTTAGGGGTGAGGCAGGGGTTGGTCGAATAACTTGCTGAAGATATTCAAATGTCTGAATGGATCCCTCTTGAGAAGAATTTCTTTCAATTTCTTGTATTATTTTTAAAATTATTTCATAATTTTCTTTCATTATTTCCTAAAATGAACAAGTTGTGTAAATATTTTGAAGTATAAAAATTGTGTATCATTACAAACCTTTACAATTAAATAGATCTCGATCATTGATCCTACATCGTGTTTTTCAAACGAGGTAGGTATAATCCCCTCACGTGCCAACCAAGTGAATTGAAGCTTTTCTGAATTAAACCGTAATAATATAAGCTGTATCTGTCCATCTAAAATAACACGGTATTTAGAATTGTAATGCTAGTTGGGATAAAATTCACATAAGTCTTAAAGCATCTTACCGAAAACAAATAGCCCAACCCATCTCATTTTACTAAAAAGAAGTTTTAAGCCAGAAGTAATAATTTTAGCAGTTTTTGAAAAAAATATAATAAAATCATTGATGGCATCATTTAATGACCGAATAAGCTTATTATAGACACCACAACTTGATGCGTTCGGTAATTTTACTTCACACATCAAGAGATATAACGAGTGTCCTTCGTATGTATAAGTGATTGCAGCATCAACTTTCCGAGGATAAACCCGAATATATGTAATCCCAGGCTGTACATCACCATAGTAGGGTTCAGAATTTCCACTTGGCCGAAGACAAGTCGTTTCGTTCCCTTTAATTATAATTTCTTCAGAAATAATATTTACTTCTTTATCCTCAACATCTTTGAAATATTCCCGAGCTTGATTAAAAGCAGAAGGTAATAAACCAAAAGGCGGCTGATGATGCCAACTCTTGCGTTCTACAATACACTTTGCAGGATGTTCAGGACTAATAGTTTATTAAATCCAATTTGATTTAAATATGATTTTAAACAAAGTTTTTTGTAACAAATTCCAAGCAAACTTGTGGTCAGTTATCTTACCCATGAAGATGAAAGTGTTGCAACAGGCCATCTAAAACTGTATCAAGAGGATGATATACATATTTATAAACATAACGTGATTCAAGGCTAACAGCAGGTGGATTGATCCATTCGAGTAGCCTGTGAATCGAAAAGAAAATAATGAGGTTGAAAGATAAAATTTATAATAATATAACAATATAAAACTTACCATGACTTTATAATTGTTTTGCAATAATTTTGATGTAATTCATCTAAATCAGAATTTAATTCTATTTGAGGTGAAGGTTCAAGGTTTGGATCATACTTTTCAAATACTAAATCCATAGTGTTATTGATGTCATCATATTGCTCCGTTGAAAATTTAAATAAGTAGTCGTTTTCAATACGTAAAATAGCATTCTTTGGATAAATAGACTGCCAAATTTCACTGTTGAAATTTATTATAAAACAATAAAATGGGTCGGTTATGGGGAGTTCTAGAAGTTTTTCCTTTATTTTACCAAGGTCTTTTAGCTTTTTAAAAAACCATTGTGGCTTTGTATCTGCCTATAATTTGAATAAATATTAATAAAAAATATTAATAAAATAATAAATTGAAGAACTTACTGGAAAGTTCATATATGATTCGATAATTTTTTCTTTTTTTTTAATTTCTGCTCGCAGAAGAATTTCTTTAATCTGAACTTCTGAAATATTTTTCAGATAATTCACGATAGCTATTAGTTGTGTTTTATCAGTGCACGAATATATAGCGGTTTGCACATTTGATAGGACATCTGTATTGTTATGCTCTAGATAAAAAAAAAAAATTTAAAATCCGTATATTATCAATTTTCTAAATCTTATTTTAAACCTCAGATAATTTGTAACTTGGGATTGTGCTTGAAATCTTACCAGTATGTGGTTTTGTAATATCAGCCCAAAAATGAAGAATCTTGTAGTCACCATTTTCGATTTGGTTCTATAAATTTGAGATGGTTTTAATATTAATGATATGGTAACAAAAATTTAATTAAGTACTGCAATTAAAACCTCTCATAAATATTGCAATCAGCAAATTCCTTAACATAATTTATTAAAATCTATGATATGATGAGAAAATTATAAAAGTATATGGTCTTTTATAATCAAAAGATAACAAACTTATCACACAAATCATAGAAATTATATTAAAGAATATTGGATGATATATTGCAAACACCCAAATTCTTCTTGACACATAAAACAACCAGTTTTTATCAAAAATTATTACAAAGATCCGATTAGAATGCACGAGATATTAGATGATATATTGCAAACAACTAAATCTTGATCATCTAACAAACTGGTCTTTACATTGAGTTACGCAGTGGAAATTATATTGCAAATTATCCAGCTCCTTATTATATCGTGGAATTACAGAAGTTTATAAAGCTGAATCGCAAATAACTAGCTTATGCAAAAAATCATGGATATTATACTATTTCTGACATAGAAACTAAACTTAAGTGACCATACCTGAAATATTTCTAAAGCCTCTTTTAGTTGTTCGTTCGTAAACCTTTTTTTCCACATAGTTTTTAAATTATCACCTAAAAAAGTTTAAAAGTCATTTACATATCTTATTTCAATTTGAATAATCGATATATACCTGATATTGTTTCTTTCAATTTATTACTGTAAAGCTGGTGCATTAAAAGTTTATCTCTGTACACTAATTTTCTTCCTTTATTGGCAAGTTTAAACTTGCAAAAGTTCAAAAAATTAATTAAAGAAATTTCATCGAGCTTCTTCACTTTCTGGTTAGAAAAATCCTCGATCAACTTTTGAGCTTCTTCTTTACTTAGCATTCTTAGCATTTTATATATAATATGATAGGAAAAGTGGGTATAAATTTTTTTATTGATCAGTATCAGTATTGTATTAACGTTAAATCAAAACAAAAAAATGGATTTTGGGTCAAAATCCCGAACAATGGATCCCCGAAAGAACGTAATACCGACAAAGTTAGCCGGCACTAGCCATAATGCTGGCCAATTTAGTCGGTTTTATGTTCTTTCGATAATCCGTTGTTCGGGATTTTGACCCAAAATCAAAAAAATGCAAGATGCAGATCAGACGATCAGACGTCATGTGATAATTTTTAAAGTACAGTACAGTATCGATATTATCAAACGGCAATTAGTTTTTGTAGAATTAATTGATATCGATATGAATAACGATAACTAATTGAATCCATAGTTTTGACAAGTTGTTTTTAAGCAAAATATCATGATTTCCATAATTATTAATTGCTTCTGAATTAATTTTTGCCTTTTGTAACCATTTAATAGCCTTTTCCTGATTAGGTGTTATTCCAATACCATTTCGATAACATAACCCAAGTTTATATTGTCCATTATAATCACCATTTTTAGCTGATTTTAAATACCATTCAAATGCCTTTTTTTCATCCTTGGCAGTGTCTATGCCATTTTGATAACAAGATCCAAGATTATTTTGTCCAGAAAAGTTACCATCTTCAGCGGATTTTAAATACCACTCAAATGCCTTCTTAAGGTGTAGTTGCAAGCCCACAATTTGCGGTTTATCTCAGTCGTGAGGCGAGCGGGACTGGTGCATCTTATTTTGCAGTCTAATGTTATAAGCTGTTGGATAATACCTTTATTGAATTCTATGTGCCAATAACTATAATTGATGATAAAAAGTTGTATAATAAATTTATTAGAGAGCCTTATGCTGTCCGATTTCAACATCTAAAAAAACCTCAAGTGAAATTACTCTTATTGGATGCCAGAACATGCATACAAAGAAATAAAAGTATTAGTAACTGATGCATATTCATATTTTAAGAAGGGATTAGAGAAAAAAGATAGTTTTTCGCATTTATTTAATATATCATGTTGTTTTAGAAATTTATGGGCCTGCTACAAACAAATCTTCAGTAGCAAGTATCTGTAGCTATAAATAAAAATTTAAATTTTAAGCAAAGAAAAATCTTTCAACAAATGTTCTTGATTCTCATTATGTCGTTGTCACGTCTTTTAATAAAATTTTTCTTCTCAGTTCTTTTTGGAGGACCTCTCTTGCAACGGTACTTCTCATACTCACAAGTTATATCACGCTTCTTACATTGCAAACATGGTAAAAAACCGCAACATCGTAACTTCTTGACTCGACAATTATTGCAAGCAGCAGTAACCCTACGACGATTACGAGAATTCATTTTTTTTATAATCATCGAAAAAAAAACACTTTTATCATTCAACAAAATTGGAAAAACCTTCACTCTATTATTTATTTATTTATTTATTTATTTAATCCATTCATACCTTTTTTTGTAATATAATCCAACTGCAAATATAAACCGGATGTAGAATAAGATATTTAGATTTAGTGACGCATAATAAGGCACTTTTACGTTTCACATGTCAGAACCCATATTTATAATAATTAATGTTACATGTTTTATTTATTACAAGTTGCTTAGCAAAAATAACCATCCGGTTAAAGCAACATATTAAACAAAGAAATGGAGTGTAGATATTGGAACTGGTAGTATAATTTAAGTAATGATACAGTATAAACATGTAGAATAAGACATTTAGTGACGCGTAAAAAGGCACTTTTACACTTCATACTGAATTAACTTGTAGGACTTATTTCGCGTAATATTATATTAGAGTTTTATACGTTATAATTAGTGAAAATGAACCTTTATTGAATTAATATTATTTGAATAATAGACTTTCGCGTATAGGATTCCGATTAATAAGAAACCATTTTTACATTTGGTGAATACTATATTCAGAAAATCGCATTTTTTAAATTAAACTTTTCTGAATATACATTAAGATTTCGATGATAATTATATTTAAATTCTAATTTCGGTGATAAATAATTCTATTTTCAGTGACAATTAAAATTAAAAGAATTTTATATTATTTGTCACCGAAATTAATTATAGTAAGATTTCGATTATAATTATATTTAAATTCTAATTTCGGTGACAAATAATTCTATTTTCGGTGACAATTAAAATTAAAAGAATTTTATATTATTTGTCATCGAAATTAAGATACAGAATTATGTTATGTATTGTTTTAAAATAAAAAATTTGAATTGTTAAATTTTCTTTGATAAATTAAACATCATTTGATTACGAAAGATTTGTGTTACATTCTTTTTGTAGGGCAACTTATCGTTTTAACAAATCTGAAGCATTTTAACTTGGAACAAATCAGAACAGGGCGGGAATAAGAAGAATAACAAGAATTCAAAGAAAGATAGGAAGTTATTTGAAATTTCTTGTTTGCTTAAAAAGAAAACTTTGTCCGAATGGTTAACAACAAATCTTAGCCTTAGAAAAATAATATTAAAATAAGCATTCTTACATAATCAGAAAGACTATAATGGAAAGCTAAATAAGAATAATATCGAGATCGATTTACAGTTACCTAGTCATTTAGAAAATAATACACTCAATCAATTATACTCAATTGGATTATAAGCAATAGAAAATTTGAGCACAATTTCTAACTGTATTCTTTAATGTCTTGTTAGTATAAAAGTTCAAAATAAAATAAATTTTATTGGCTTAAATTTATACTATAAATTCGAGATAAATTGACTTAACAGTTCTATATAAATGAATATCAATGTTTCAATTATTCATGCTCGCATTAATACAGCTCGTGAAGCCAGTAATGTAGTAAGAATTTTTAATGTAAAAATTAGTCTTGTCAATATGATTTGAGATAAACATGAAACGATACAACATGTGACTTTCTTTTTTTCTCTTATACTAGATAACTAATCGATATTACTATGAAAAATAAGTTTTATAATGGCACATGGCCCTCGTAATAATGACTCTCGAATCCACGTCTTCCGATCATGATTTCAGCAAAAAAGTCATATAGTTTATTAACTACTGAGTAAATTTTGTACCATTTCGTGGATTGGTCAACTCCGAAGGTCCCGTGTACATGTGGCTCATAAATCTCAGGAAAGTAGAATTTTCTAAGAGTCCAGCTAATTGATTTTCAATTTAATCTTATGTTTATAAACTATTGGAATTAATAAAAACTATCACTTACCCGATTATTAAAACAATAAATACGAGCCATATAAATTTATTGCGAAAAGTGGAACTCGCATTCCCATTTTCTTAATGAATGCAATTATAAATTTAAAATACCATTTTAAAATCAGTTTAAATAATTAATGTAAAATTTTTTACTTTGAATATTTTCAACCATCTTAAGAAGACTTATTAATTACTTAGAAAACTAAATAATAAGAAGTAATTACGATTATCGTTATGAAAACAGCTGTAATTGCATTAAAAGTCCGACGGCCGCCAGAGGCCGTCGGACTTCAAATATTGTTTTCGGGAAAAAATCAATGCTAAACGTGTCACGTGTTTATTTCGGCTGAAATAAGTTGTGAATTAGAGACACCAGTTTATGCGATTTCAGTGATTTTTCTATTATTTAAACAATAGAATATCATCGAAACCGCATAAATTTGAATATTTAGCTAAATAACAAAAATATTTAAATACTCAATGCTCTTTTTGAACTAATGTACGTCAACAGAATTTGATTATAAAATAATAAAAACCAGATTTTTTTGATAGTAACATTTTCAATAAATATAGTATCTTAAATTTCTACAATGATCACCTACAACTTGATATTTTATAAAAATTGAATCATAAAGATGCATTAATCCAAGAATGTATGATATTATTTGTTCCGTAAAGTAAAACCGCTAATAAAAACTATTTTGTTTTTTTATCTCTAGATGCATATCAATTTAAAAATCAGCATAAAGAAATCATCCGCCTCGGACAAACCTGTAAATATCTAGCAGCAGAATTGAATAATAAAATGAAATTGGTATTACCAAGTAAATTAGAAAAGAAAACATTCGATAGAGTATATTCGCTCGGATTAAGGATGCTTATCGAAAGTATTTTGGCGTGTCGAAACTATTTCGATAAATCTCATAGTGTCGAAATATCGATATCGATATCGAAAGTGTTATCGAATCTCGAAAGTCTTCTCGAATCTCGAAAATCTTCTCGAATCTCGAAAGTCTTCTCAAATCTCGAAAGTCTTTTCGAATCTCGGAAGTCCATTAAAGGAGGTCAGCTAATGTTTGCATTAGTGTTCCGATCGGGTCGGGTTAAAACTTGAACTGACCCGACCCTAACCCGACCCGAAATCAACCCGAAAATATATGTGAATAAAAAAAAAAATAAAATCTTATATGGATATATAAAAAAAAAATAAATAAATAAAAGAAACGAACCAGTGGATTAAAAAAAAAAAAAAAAAAAAAAAAAAAAAAAAAAAAAAAAAAACAAAAAAAAAAAAAAAAAAAAAAAAAAAAAAAAAAAAAAAAAACAAAAAAAAAAAAAAAAAAAAAAAAAAAAAAAACGAAAACGAACCGATAATATGTGGATAATAATAATAAAGAGAGAGAAACGAACTGGTGGATAAAACGAACCGATATTATATGTTAAATTTTAATTAACGCGTATGTTACACCAATATAATACAAAGTGTATTGAATGTAAAAATAAAAACATTAAAATACCAAAAAAACATAGGTATGTCTTTATTTGCTAGAATTAAAAATTTAGTTAATTCAATGTAAGCTAAACGTATCTGTCTATATTATATTAATGTTTATCTATAGTAACCTAAAATTTTAATTATAAGAACTAGATTATGGAAAAATCCTGAATACCAAACATGTCGACCACATATAAACGAATCCACTTGGGGACATAATGTATTAAAACCTATCATCGATTTTATTGAATATGATCTAGAGACAGAAATCTTAATAAGATGGTAATTTACGACTTTAATTTATTTATAAAATATAGTAGTTAAAAGTAATTTTTTTTTTGTATAGGGATGCAATCACTAGTCAAGCGAGCTTAGATAGAAATAATGATAAAGGCCCCATTAAAAAATACGATATCTTTGGTGTGTGCAAAGATGAAAAATATGATATAGAACTCATTCTTGGCGAGATATCTCATGGGCCCCAAGACGAAACTCATATTCATTCAATTGAAGACAGAAATAAGTTAGGAAAAGGAGCAAAGGATTCATTGGATAGTATATCAAGAACTTATTCCAAATCACCAAATTTTAATTTAACGAATTTAAAAATCTTTTTATTGCATTCGCATGGTTAGTAAAATTTTTAATATTTAGAAAGTTTCTATTTATTTAAAATTTAAATATAATTTTTCATTTAGGGACAAAGTTGGAATTTTTAATTTTAGATAAAAAATATTCACCAATGTTCCGAATGAGAAGATTAGCAACTATTGAAATCCCTTTTAAAAAGGAATCGGATTTATTAGAATTAATTAAAGTTGTGCACACCTTTAAATATCTTTTAGAGGAAACTGTAGAAAACATAAAATTTTTTAAAAAAGCAAAAAACTACATGAATTATAATATAAATGAAGAAGATGAAGAGGATGAGGATGATGAAGGAAGTGAAAATTATGAAAGTGAAGATGATGAAGAAAGTGAAAGTTATGAATTTGAAAATAATGAAGACGAAGATAAAGAAAATGAATTTGATGAATTAGAGAATGTAACTAGCAGAAATTGTTTGGATGGTTATAATATCCCAACGCTTAATACACCAATTTTACAAAAAAGAAAAAAAAGACAAACAACGTCTAATTTCTGATTTTATATTGTCAAATTTCATGTCATTTAGAAGTAGATATCGAAATTTAATAAAGTATTTATCGTTGTTCTAATGAAGATTCTTTCAATGGACAGATTAATTATGTGGGTTGAAACATTATTTTTAAAGATAAAATGGGAACTTTGCTAGGATTTTTTCTTCTAAAAATAGATTTATTATAATTTTCCTAGCAAGGATCCCAAATATATATAAATATAAGGGAAATTCTATTTTCACCCGGGTTAAAGTCACCCGATAGACTATAATAACGTTCGCGTGACTAAAATTAATAGTATTAGTAGACTCTAACAAAAAAATTCATTGTAAAAATTTGCATATACTAATACCTAGATAAAATCCCAAGCCTCACCCTAACCCTAAAGTAAATGAAAATTTATTTAATATTTCGGGTGACTTTAACCCGGGTGAAAATAGAAATTCTCTAAATATAATATCTATAATAAATTGTAGCTATTTTTGGACCCAAATTTGTATTTTAATTTTGCCCAAATTTATATTCTAATTTTGCTCAAATTTAGCCTTTAATTTTATTCAAATTTATAATAGAATTCTGCCTAGGGTTGTGTTACAAAAATTACAATCTTACATTACTCGTAATTTTACGTAAGTTTCAGTAAATCGAATTACACGTAACTTTGGTCACATGATATAAAGTACTGGGATTACATAAATTTTGGCCTAGTTTTATCGTTATTCATTAGATTTATTTGAATATCTAAGACATCCGTTACAATATCGTTATATTTAAATATGAAACGTGTAATGAATTGCTATACTATACGTTTATTTAAATAATTTTATTCACATGATTACTATTTTCTGATGTTGATTGTTTTTATTTCTTATTACCATTTGAATTTTCATTTATTGTTGAATTTCACAAAGAACATATATCCAAATGCTCCAGTAATCTTGTTACATTTTTTGCCACTTCCTTACTACATGCTTTGCATTTGTAACGTTCTTTTCTCTTTTCGTCTATCCACATAGTATATTGATCCCACATTTCAACTTTCTTTTTTTTTAACCATTTTTAGTACAGTAGCATGTTATAAAATTTTCAGGTTCGATTTTACTTTATTTTATATTTTATGCTTTATATGACAAAAATAATTAAGCGAATGAATAATTACGTATCGACATCATGTGATCAAAATTACGACAATTTCAGTAATTAGCGAACGAAAAATTTAATAAACTTTACATATCATGTAATTAAAATTACATTTCCATGTAAATCCAATTTACCGAATCTTACAAAAATTACACAAAATTACGTAAAATTACGGTAATTTCACAACCCTAATTCTGCCCAAATTAAACTCCAATTCTGCCCAAAATTTATACACTAATTTTTATTCTAAATTTGTACTTTAATTAATTCTGCCCAAATTTATAATCGAATTATAAAATTTGGCTGAATTTCGAATATAAATTTGGGCAATAAATTTTGGCAGAATTAGAATATAAATTTGGGCAGAATTAGAATATAAATTTGGCAGAATTAAAGTATAAATTTTGGCAGGATTTGGGCAGAATTCGAATATAAATTTGGGTAAAATTAGAGTATAAATTTTGGCAGAATTAGGACTTAATTTGGGTATAAATTTTTGCAGAATTAGGATATAAATTTGGACAAAATCAAAGTATAAATTTTGGCAGAATTAGGGTTTAATTTGGGCAGAATTTGAATTTTGTAAAAATAGAGTATAAATTTGGGCAAAATTAGAATATAAATTTAGGCAGAATTAAAGTATAAATTTGGATTTAGCAAAATTAGAGTATAAAGTTTGGGCCGATATGTAATTTGGTAAGATTAAAACAGCTTTTAACTCGTTATTTATTGTTAATTGAACATGAGACTTTATCAGGATAAAAACTAAATTGACCCCTACGGCCATGGGGGCCGTAGGAGTTTAAAAAATTAAAGCTGATTCTCAATAGCCATGGTTCTCAATGATATTTACCTAGCAATTTTTGTAGCAAACTAAGAAGAATATTTTTTTTTCGAAAACATAGGAATATTATACGGAATTTACAAAGTAATGACGATTTAACGAAATACAAATTACGTAATTTGTGATCTTTTCATGATTGGTAAATTGCATCTTATTGATGATTGGCCAAATTTATTAGATCAATAGAACATATTGATATTAATAAATTACAATAGACAAACTGAAAGAACAAATAAAGAGTATGACCTTTACCGATTTATTCGAGATAAAAGAATTAAAAGAATAATATTGGCCATCATTAGATTGGTAAGTTAAAATAACTTAAGTTATACAACCCTAATTTTAGTATAGGTAATGAAGGTGGAATTAATTAGAATTAAAGAAGAATTAGGGTTAGGGTTGTATAACATGGTAAGTTATTGGGGTGTGTGATTGGATTTTTTCATGATTATTTAACAAATTATTTTTTATCAAAAATTTAGTCGCTACAGTTATATGATGTTGCAAAACAAACCGGACTTTGCACTATAAAAATTAGAAAAAATTCCAATAAAGATCTCGTGGCAAATAAGATGACTAGTCATATTAAAAATTTACAAATTAAAAAGTTTATACAAAAATAAAGTAATTTTTTAAAAAAAATGAAAGATAAAATAGATTAAATATAGAATAGGTGACACTTCCGGCAAAGTTTTCAGGAATGAAGAATTAGCCATATCAATCGTGAAATGTGACGTACACCACTTCATGTAACCAATTTTAAAATTGCGCAATTATAATTGGTCACATGAATTGGTGCTGCGTTACATTTCGAGATTACGTGATACAGTTAATTCTTCGTCCCTGGAAACTTTACTGGAAATGTCACCTATCTATATTTAATCCGATAAAATTAAAAACATTCTTTCAAATTGAATTCTGGAATTAACTGGCATGAATAAAGTTATCAAGATATTTGATTTTCAATTCAATAATTTCAATTTTACTGTCATATTTAAAGAATTTGCACCATGAGTGGGCTAATAATGGATTGGTTAAAGTCAATTTATTTAAAAGTCTATTTATTTCCAAATCTGCAATAGTTCTTCTTTCTGTTTCATTCTTTTTCCTTTGCTTCTTTACGATGTCGTTTGAAAGTTCCGAGTTTGTAAAATTTGTTCGGTCGATTGTTGTTTTTAGAACTTTATCATTTCTTGTTTGCTCATTTTCTTTTTTAAGAAGCAAATATTCATTTGTGACTCATTTATTTTCTTGTTTAAGGAAAAAATTTTCGTTTCTGACTTGTTCGTTCTCTTGCTTGAGGAGTAAATTTTCTTTTCCGATTCGTTCAATCTCTTTAAGCTTTGTCTTAAGTAAACTGTTTTCTTCTTCTATTTGGAGATTATTGTCTTTCATTTCATTTGCGTTATTCGTTTCTAACTCTTTGACATATATTACATAAATAACTTCATCATCGGTTAGATATTCATTGAACACTTCTTGGGTGGATTCAGCTTTAGACAAATCAATAATTAAATAGCAAATAAATAAAAATATTGTAAGACAAAAGATAATATTGAAGAAATCTATTTTGCAATTTATTTTTGAAAAATGCGATTTCGCACAGCTTAAAAGGTACTTCTAATGATTTTAAATAAATTCATAACTAATTCTTGTGCATAATATTGTAAGAAACTTGTTAATAATTCAAAAAAAAAAAAAAATAGAGAAATTTTTTACATTTACTCGAGACTTGATTTTTGCAAATGTGCATTATCGCGCAGCATTTTGGGGCTTAGAACGCGTATTGGAACGCCTTTTCTTTGTTATTATAAAAAAAAAAAAACTTGTATATTTAAAAAAAGAAAATTTTTTACATTTTCTCGAATTTTTCACAAATGTGCATTATCGCGCAGCATTTTTTTGAGGCTTAGTACACGTATTAGAACGCGCTTTGTTCTTTATGGTTCTGTATTTCCTGAAATGCAATTAAATGGAAATTATAAAAGAAAAACTTGTTTATTCAAAAGAAATTTTTTTTTTACATTTTTCTTAAATCCTAATTTTCGCATATGTGCATTAACGCGCAGTATTTTTTTGAGGCTTAGTACGCGCATTGGAACGCGCTTTGTTCTTTGTATTACAATGCAATATAAATAATAATAATAAAGTATATTGAATTTATTTTTTTGTATAATATAAAGTCGTGAATTAAAAAAAATTTTTTTTAATAATACATTCGGCACCATTATTTTCGTGAAACATGTTAATTCTTTTTTTGTTATCATGTGACTTAATACTGTAACAAAAGTATAGTTATAATATAATTT